CCACTGACCACAAGGAAGCTGTTTCCCAAATGTATTGACAACTAAAAGATAATCATGTTAAGGTGCTTGGCTAATATTTTACTTGGTCCAACTCGGTTTGTAAATATAATTTATGACTTGGAAATATCTGGAAATAAGTAAATTCGTTCAAATCATTATCCCCGTTTCAGACCTTCAGTCACATTTGTATGTAAACGCTTTCGAACATTTTGTACAAATATATTCAAAACGGGCAGGATAAACATAGAAATAGTTGTTTTCTAAGCCATAATATTTTTTTTCCGTATTTCGGTATAATTTTGTCATGGTAATATTCGCGTTGTTGTCAGTGGACGCTTGGAATATATAAGACTTCTTGTACAAAGACCCTTTGCATAAATAACGTTTCTTTCGTAGTAGCCTGGGGACAGTCAACATCAGCTGAGGGCGTGTTTGCAGGTACTCTGTCTTGGGGCCCGGCAGTGAAGGTTTCTATGTAGATACACTGTGCGGCGCCAGGCAACACACAAACACGTTTTATGTAAAGTTGGCGGGTGATATAGCTAGGTCAGTACATGCATACTCTATTGGTGCCAGTACTGATTTTTTCAGTGATCCATTCCTATAATTTTCACCGCAGTTTTACCTTTAACGCCCAATGGAATCTATTTCGTCGGATTGTCGAGACTGGTTATTCTCTGGCGTTGACGTTTTAAAGTTTTGTTAATGGACCCAAAGAGACAAGTTAAGTGTGTTGCTATGCTCCATTGTGTGGTATTCGGTGCTCGCGTGGATACTCGGTTGAAAACAAATAGCATTGGTACCCGTATTTAATCAGTATTTGCAGATTGGGAATTGATTTCAGTATCAATAAAACCATTAAGGTAAAATACACAACTTCCTCCACTGTTATTTTGCATTGGACAGATGAGAAGCTTTTTTTAGTTAACAAACCGCAAATGCAATCACTAAAAGGTGAACACGGAGGGGCTCCAATGTTTGGTACCATTGCTCTTCTGCCAAACTGTCTGTCTCATTATTGTGTTCTGTGCACAGTAGGGGCGGGTGACCTTTAAATGCTGAATAAAACCCGTCTATCTGTCTGTATTTGTCATCATTTATATAATATTAATATGTATTAAAATAAATGTATTTCTTTGCACTGTAGTTTTGTAGTAACTGCTGTGTTAAATATGACAGTGGATAAACAGTTCAGGAACAAGAGAAATCATTTAAAAACACAACCGTAATTATATACGTGAGTGAGTGAGTGAGTGAGTGAGTGGTTTTACGTCCCCTCTAACCTAGCGGGCCACATAAATCGACTTCACACAATGTGCCGAACGGCCTACAACTTATCCATTGAGCAATGTCACCGCCAATATTGTTTAGAATATCAATGTGCAAATATGTCTTAACCATGTTCTTACTCACTTAAACAGTTTATATTAATTCTGCAACGGATTATATATAGAGAATCTCACCCGAGTGTCTTTTGATATCAAATATATCAACACGAGTTGATAAAAGTGGAAATATTCCGAGGCTTGCCGAGGAATTTTGCCACTTTTATCAACGAGTGTTGATATATTTGATATCAAAAGACCCGAGGGTGAGATTTTATTTATCATCCAACATCATTCTTTCAACTTTTTCAATTTGTAGACAGTAATTAGCAGTGTCTTCAGAGTAAAAAGTACTGCAAACAGCTTCAGTAGCAGAGCCATTAGTGATGTCATTTGATTGTGACGTCATGGTAACCAGTGATGTCACAATGGTCTGCAAAGCATTGTGATGTAATTTCATTGCAGCGATATCTACAGTGTAGATATCGCTTGATCTCATCCAAGCGATATCTCCTGTGGGAGCCAGTTTTGGATGATAAATAACATGTATATACGATGAAATGGGACAGACTCACGTAATCCGCAGTCTGTGGGGTAATCCGCAGTAACCCGGCTCAACGGTAGCGCATGGGTGCTGGGTCTGTTCTGGTGAAGGGGCCACTGGTGAACTCATGTCGGCCGGTTATCAATTAGTCGTTAATCAACAGATGTGAATTTAAATGAATAATTCTAATACTCGTACCTCTTACGTGTTAACACCAGTTAATATTTTCGTATATTGAAGAAACGGAAATGACTACCACCGGTATCGTGGAGGAAAAATAGTTACTCAGAACAACAGGATATTTGAAATATCCATTTATTTTATACTTTTTGTGTAGTTTTCTCCCGGAAAATTAACACATTTTGTAATAAATTAAAATATTTTGAGTGAACGTATTTATTCAAACAAAGTATCTGTACAAGATGGTCACAGACTGTTACATATAGCCCACAATATGGAAAACGCACAAGTGCCTCGCTGTATTCCAAACAAATGTGGATGAAAGAATTTGGTCTACTTCGGCTACAAGAGACAGAAACCACTGGCGCTGTTGTCTAGGAACATGCAATTCTACCATCAACACTCTGAACATGCTCGTGACCTTCTACATCCAAGCATGCTTTCGACCGGAACAAAGACAAGTTCTTGCTGGTGAGAAATGTGCAGCCGGGTGGCTTGATGCCCTCTCACATCTCACCGGGTAGTGATCTGAATGAATTGTAAATGGAAGTATTTTGTTTGCTGTTTAACCTTGCACTCAGCAATATTCCAGCTGTACGTAATCGAGCCTTGACCAGACATTCCAGTGATTGATATCATGAACGTCGTGCATGCAATTGGGATACGGTGACATGCATACACCAAGTCAGCGAGCCTGACCACCCGATCCCGTCAGTCGCCTCATACGACAAGCAAAGTCGCCTCTTACGACAAGCGTGGGTTGCTCAAGACCTATTTCAACCCGGATCTTTACTGGTCGTGAGAACTTGTATTGATGTGTACATGAATATCATGTCAATAACAAATTGTATATGACCTATATTTCACATCCGGGGTTATATGTCATACAGATTATAATCGGTACATCAAAGAAGCAATCACAACACACTGATTATCTGTCGGCATATCAAAGAAAGCGTTTACATGGGATGACCCCGGTTAAATCATGTACACGTTATTGACACATTACCACCCATTCGTGACCAACTCGTGTTATTCCGGGACGAGCCGAATAGCGACTCGTACCCCTCTCGTGGCCATTTTTGCGACCGGGTTCCGTCTTAGCGCAAACGGGCATACCTAAAACAATTGTCAACTTGTTGCGTAATGGTTCACATACATTTCCCCGTATATTATATATGTTTCAGATGCAATTTAAAGCACATCTGGACATGCGGAATTATACAGTATGATCGAGCACATTTAATTGTGTCTTGGGTGTATTTTTAGATGCATGACATATGTAAAATCAAAAATTATTTCTGAGGGATTCTTTGCCGAAGAAATTGAAATCACACGCGCATTCTGATTGGTTTGTCGTATTTTCGCAAATAACATTCATCGATAGGGGGACGAGTCTTCTTGCAGGTTACGGAAAGGGGCGAGTGGTGACGAATGATTACCACCAATACTAAACTGGGTTCCTGTCTAATACAAACGAGGAGACAGGCGAGGGACATTTCCTCGCCGGGGCAATGATTGGACAATAGTTTCGAGCTTTAAATATTAATATCATAACTATAAAGTGAACATAAAGCGCGATCCGCAACTGCTTGTCTGTCATTCATCGCAGATATATGAAACAGTACACAATTTTGTTTTCAGTACATTTTACCTGGAAATATCTTGCTTATTTTGTAAAAGGCATCAATTATCAAAGAATCCCATTTTACAGTGACCAAAAGATGTGTAGGTTGTCTCCCCTTTGTTCTGTGAACTTCTCTATTGTACGACTTTTTTGGATTTTTTGGATATCGTCAAAATGAAAATGAAAATGAGATGTTTAAAACACTACCTGCTGTAATTTATAATATATTAATTTTAAAGAGATAACTCATCAAGATCTTGTTAGTTTAAAATTACTTGAAATGTCGTGAAAGTCGCGTAACGTTGATGCTAGCCGCTGTCGGCTGAAATGTGGCTAATGGGACTACAGTAAACTACGGTTATAACGATCTCAAAGGGACTTCTTATTTTAGTTCGTTATAACCGTAGTTCGTTATAAGCATCTATACAGCATAAATACAGCAAATAGTCGGGACCAAAAAAGTAAGTTCGTTATATCCGTCAGTTCGTTATAAGCGTGTTCGTTATAACCGTAGTTTACTGTATATCATATCGTACCAAAACAACACTTGTCTTCTTTCCTCATAGTTAATTTCTCTACTGAATGCTACCATGCAAATTACGAAAGGTTATAAATACCGAGTTATCTAAAAGCTCAAGATATGGTTAAGTTTTCTAATCATTTTATAACATGCCACATTATTATTTTTAAGAACGCCGAGAAACGATGTTATAACCATGTTGAAACCATACACTCCATTTACATATAGCCAGGTGTTGAAGTATTAAAACGTTTCACTGTCATAACTTCCAAACATATATAATATATAAATATCCGTTCAATTATATATCTTATTTGATAAATATGCTTATATTTACAGTTTTTTAGTGTGTAATCTACTCTTGCATAAAAAACAACTTGAACCCTGTTGTTTTAAGAAAGTTCGAAACTAAAATCGGCACAGAATATTGATGGGCCCAACCATCAATGATATCTGCATTTCTCAGACTTTATTATCTTTACAAAAAATAAAACATTCAGGGATAGTTTTAATTATCCTACATCCACAAAAAAACAAATTGTATGAAGAAATGGCATAATGCATGTACTGAATATCATGAACTGTATAGTCATCAGGGGCCATATATCATCAGATATACATGCTGTACCCAACGGTACGAGGCATGTCTACGTGAGTGAGTGAGTGAGTTGGGTTTAACGCCGCTTTTAACAGTATTCCAGTTATATCGCGGCTTGTCAGCTTAATGTGGGAGGAAAGCCCGAAGTCATGCAGGTCTCCGACGTTTACCATGAGCACGGGTATGGTGCTGACAAACCTAGAAACATAGTCGGGGCGAACCGGGATTCGAACCCACAGTCATAGGTTTCTGGCGTGCCCAAGGGACGCAACTCTGTACAGCGAATCGCGGCGTCTTAGACGACTGGGCCACCCGTGCCCCCAGATAGTCAGGGAAATCGACATTCGAATGTATTGTCCACATGAAAGAACATGCTTAACTTCATTCCCTGGTCCATTTAGCTCAATGATGTGTTCTCTGTAAGGTTTTAGGAAAATAAGTTCGATGCTATTCCAAATAGTTATTGGGGCGGTGGGGTAGCCTAGTGGCTAAAGCGTTCGTTCGTCACGGTGAAGACACGGGTTCGATTCCCAACATGGGTACAATGTGTGAGGCCCATTTCTGGTGACCCCTGCCGTGATGTTGCTAGAATATTGATAAACCCCATACTAACACCGATACTCGTTAATAGTTACACACGGATCGTCGACATATATATAGAAACCGAGTTGGCCTGTCTACGGGTCGTTTGTGACATAGAAAATAAGAAAAATTGACTTTTTCTTGTTGAGCGTGCTTGTTATTCCCAAGGGACGCATCTCTGCACGGCGAATTGCGGCGCCATAGACGACTGGGCCAAATATGGCCCCATATATAATTACTAAATTACTAAATTCGAATTATATAAACTAACTCCTGGGGGGTGGGGGAAATTATAAAAGTTATGAAAACGTTACAAAGCTGAAAACAGTCGCCGAAACTCTGTAAACTTAAGGTAAAAAAGACAATCAATCCATTGGCTTCGATGATGCACGTCCAGCAGTGAAAAACCGCTAAACACCTTTTTTCGGGTACCCGTAAAAATGTTCGTGCAGAAATGGTATAAACTGCCATGGATCTTTGCCAAGACACCACAGAATAAGCATAGAATATATGCCACGTTTAGTTGTACAACGTAGAGAATTAGGGCAGTTCAGCAAATGGGTGCCAACCACGCCTATATTGCAAGAAACGTCAACTGTACACGTGCAACCACCGTCAGACTGTTTGAACGATGCAGAGAGATGTATTAAAGTCACGTGTTACCATAAATCTTCCAGCCTTTAGGTATCACTCAATGGATTCCTTCAACATTAATTTTGTCGAAATTACTGCAACGTATAAATATTCATATATTTCGATTCGTTATCTTCTTTTTGGGGTCTCTGCTTGAGAAAAACTGACAGAGTCGTATCATATCACTTAGAAGAAAGAAACTGAACGTGATGACGATGAAGATTATCCCCGAGTAGCCAATGGCCTGTGCTGAGGGTCTGTCGTCTGGCTCTGACTCCAGCTTCCTTCTGGTGGCTGACAGCTTGGACTTGTCTAACTTCAGGAGAAGGAGTATGGCGTCCACAATACGCTGTATCTCGGTCATATTTTTGGTTCCAATACATACCACACACGGACACGTCTCGTCTGAAAATATACAACACAGTTGGTATTTTAGCAACATACAGAAGGGGTTCATTGTAAACAACATTTTCGAATATATATTTTGTTTCTACGTGGTGTCTGGATGACAATACTGTACACCAGTGCTTATCACCGAGTTTCGATGGCGACGGGATGTATACTCACCAACAAAAGAAACGCGATTACCATAAATGTTGGTAAATATATCAATAATTACTTAAATTCAAGACATATTAGATTGGTTCGATACACAAACGAACGTACTGTTATGTTGTGTGAACCGACATCAGTGTATCACATGTGACGTCATAGATCCATGACCATTTGCCTCGTGCAGGAGTGACGTGTGCAGTTTGGAAATCACGTGCAGCATATCGTGATAAGAATGAACACACTGTGGTAACACTTGACTGATTGTTAGTTTTGTTATTAAGTGGAACACATTGGAAACATCTCTTCTAAACATACATACTTCTCTACATGTTTCTAGGGTTCGCGTTTCCTTTGGCGGTGAGTATATTAAATAATAAAGCGGTAGATGCTATACAACTGTCAATGCCAAAGGTGTGTTAAAATCATATGAATCTTAGAAATCCGTATCATTCAATCATAATTTCAAAATTAACGACTTGTTTTTGATTATCAATGAATCCATCTCAGTAGTTGTTTTGTTTATAGATAATAATCAGCGTTGTTGTTTATGACATTTCAGCTTACTTCCTGGCATATATGACGAGAACCTTCCGTCTGTTGTCGAGCTTGTTCCTGTTGATGAGGTGGATGAAGTTGTGATGCTTTGTGCTGTTACTGATGCTGCTGTTGGGGTTGGGGTATTAGATGAGAGTTCTGTTGTCGAGTTTGGAGCATAGACGCTTGCGCTATCAACAGGGGTATTCCCCGAAGTCCCAGGGTCAGCAGAAGAAAGAGTATAACTCGGGTTAGTAGTGATTGACGATGCAGCCGTTACGTTGGACGTCATATTTGATGTTGTTGACGTATGAAGTGCCGTTACGGTGGGAGTGGTAGCACTTGTTACAGGTGGGGTGGCTGTGGCTCCTGATGTGGCGGTTGTCGTAGTTGATATTGTAGTAGATGTCGCCGTTGTCGTAGTTGTTATTGTAATAGTAGTTGTGGTTGAGGTAGTTGGTGTCGAAACTTCCAATGGTGTGATAGTAGTGGCTGTAGCTGTGGTAGTGACTGGTGTTGTGGCAGTCGTCGGTGTAGTAGTTGTACTAGTAGGAGTAGAAACTGCTGTGGTGGTAGTAGCACTAGTAGTAGTTGGTGTTGTAATAGTAGTAGTTGTTTGTGCAGTAGTAGATGTTGTAGTTGTTGTTGGTGTAGTAGTAGTAGATGTTGTAGTTGTTGGTGTAGTAGTAGTAGATGTTGTAGTTGTTGGTGTAGTAGTAGTAGATGTTGTAGTTGGTGTAGTAGTAGAAGTAGTAGTAGTAGTTGTGGTAGTCGGAGCTTGGGTTGTATACAAGTCGCAGTCGATAATTGGACCTGAGTTACTGTTTTTGTAGTTTGATGAGGAGGTCTTTGATTGAACTGTTTAAAAAGAAACAGTATCCAGTGAATGAATGGTATTGTTTTCAGACATACACTTTTGTAATAACTTACATCAGACGCAAGGAAGAATCAAAATACGACCCCTAAAACCCATTGCGGCTGTGAAGAAGAGGCACAAACAGGGATCGGGTGGCCATACAGCTAAGCAGAAGACCACTCAATAAAAATATTTGAGGATGCGGCTGCGGGTTAACTCACTGCTTGTCTACAGCTGTAGATAGCACCTCGAGCCCGTTACATTTTGCACATTTAAATTTGGGTGCCCCCCCCCCCCCTTGACCAGACGATCCAGTGATTGACATCATGAGCATCGATCCACGCAATTAGGATACGGTGACGTGCATCAACCAAGTCAGACCACCCCCCTTTAAATGTGATCCTGATACTCTACAAACGATTAATATTCAATCACAGAATCATGAAAAGATCCTACAGCTGGAGTCAATATTACAAACTGTGCGGCAATTTCAAGCTCAAGATCGGATGGTTTTTCAAACAACTTCTGGTCTTCCTTTCATTTATTGTGTAAGTGATTCACTTTGTAAATCACCATGATAAAATTAACGTGTATTGTCAAATGTTTCAGGAACTAGAAATGTATTTACAAATTGCAAAAAAAACAAAATATAATATATTAGTAACGCTGGGGAATAACCAGTGTCCATCAACCAACGAAACAAATTACATTGGGCGTAAATGGCAAAATGGTGGTGAAAAGTATATGAATGGATCACTGAAAATCATGGCATACGAATGGCCACATGTTTAAAAACGTATATATGTACACACATGTAAAACAAGTCCGTGTCTTGGCTACATCTGATGCTGAAGGATTTGTACACTTCCAGGGATCTTTGTCAAAGTACAGTGTACAGGAGTCTGGGGCGGTGAAGGCGTACATCCAGCATGCACGTGTCCCGTCGAGTTGGGTGCTGCACAGGGTCTCGCACTCTGGAGCGGAAGACACCGTGTGACTGGCAGTATTGGAATGGCTTGTTCCTGAACAGGATCCGCTGAAGGCTGCATACGTACAGGGACCTAGTGAAACATAAGAAAGGTACGTAAAAAGGTATTTGTCACTTAAAAATGAGACATTTGTTCAAGAATTTCTACTTCGATTCTTTAATTTCAAAATTCGTCTCCTATTAAAACTGTAAAACCAGGATTCGAACCCACGCTCATAGGTTTGTGGAGTGTCCAAGGGACTTTGCCACCCGTACCCCCAGAAACTGGGATGTAAAAACAACATCGACTGTAGGGAGTGGCTGTGCTTGGACAAACGTTACCATAGTTACTGTTCAGGTTCTAACGTGGAACGATAAACTGCTGCTTGGAATGATACATACCTACTGTGAAATATGACACAAGTTCTTTGACAATGAAAGTTTGGTGTGGCACCTGCTTGCTGCCTTCGTTCAATGAAAACAAATTGCATGTTTTGCAGTACTAGCTAAACAAAACCCAGCCCTCTCCCCAAAGGAACAGTAACTGGTCGCCCTCTAAAAGACAAACGTATGAACCTTCACATATGTTTGTACTAAAATGACAATGTATTTACAAACAATGTTCTCTTGAGTAACAAATAGTTTAAATTTTGAAAACTACCACTGACGATTGTCCTATCACCCAACTGCTGAATACAAGCAAAACATATTATGTTCATTTTTGCAGTGCCATATTTGCGTCAATATGTATAGTATAGTATAGTATAGTAGAGTATAGTATAGTGAGAGAGATGGGTTTAACGCCGCTTTTAACATTATTCCAGTTATATCACGGCGTGTCAGTTTAATGTGGGAGGAAAGCCCGAAGTGATGCAGGTCTCAGACGTTTACCACTTCGGTGAAACCCACGAGCACGGGTATGGTGCTGACAAACCTAGAAACATAATCGGGGCGAACCGGGATTCGAACCCACAATCATAGGTTTCAGGCGTGTCAAAGGGACGCAACTCTGCACAGCGAATCGCGGCGCCTTAGACGACTGGGCCACCCGTGCCCCATAGTATAGTATAGTATAGTATAGTATAGTATAGTATAGTATAGTATAGTATAGTATAGTATAGTATAGTATAGTATAGTATAGTATAAATGTAATAGCCAATACAATGGAATGGTAGACGATTGTTGAGTCAGGCTATGCTAGAACTAGGATAAGTGAGTGAGTAGGACTTTGCCGCTTTAATTTCAGTGATATCCCGACAGTTGTCACTGGAATTGGACCTCCCATATTGCGGTATCGAACCCGGACCATCTGCGTTACGAGCAAACGCTTTAACCACAACGTCTCCACCTCCTCCTGGCACTACCATTTATTGTGACCAATCTATTTACCCGTGGCCTCCTCACACAGGAACTGATAGCTGCTACTGTCGCACACCTCGCTCTTCCATTCCAGGGTGTCTCGTTCAGCGAACACACAGGGTTTGTCGCTGCCTTGGGGGTCCCCGTTTTGCCAGAAAGTGTAAGATGCTGGTTCGCAGTGGTCCCATCGAAAACCCGATGTCCCTTCATTCAGTCCAATCCAAAAATGACCTTGCCTAGGTTAACAAAACCGTTCTTGCTTTAAATGATAAATCTTACACATATGATATTTTACTACATTGAACAAACATGCTACAATACAATCTTACAGGACCCCTGGACTAAACGGGATCCATTGAATATGTCAATAAGGAAATGTTTCTTCTACTTTGTGGTATGAGGCACACGTTGAATGTTCAAAGTAATGAGACTTATTTGTCAGTACACTTCAATAAAACTTGTACTGTTATGTTAACACCTTGTTAGATAAAGTAAATGAGTGAGTATGGTTTTACGCCGCTTTTAGCAATATTCCAGCAATATCACGGCGGGGGACAGCAGAAATAGGCTTCACACATTGTACCCATGTCGGGAATCGAGCCCGGGCCTTCGGCGTGACGAGCGAACGCTTTAACCACTAGGCTACCCGACCTCCCTTGTTAGATAAAGAAGCACATACAGAATATATAATAAGGCCTGAAGTAATAATATATCACAAACGTCATCGTCGTATTCCCGTAATATCCTGCTACCAACCAGCGTTTAGCATAAAACTCCCTATTGGTTTAGATACTAGTTTACTACAAACGCCCAGAGGACTTCTACGGTTATTTATGTCCTCGACATGAATGGAAAGTTGACTCTTCGCCATCCCTCTTGTCATAGTCTTGTGGATAGGGGAGGGTTGCACTCTCAGTCTTAATGCACAGACTTAATAAAATCATGTAACCACGTTTTGTAACATAGCCCCATGGATCAAGGAATGAAGTCTGTCCGCAGGTTTGTCATGTGGGATAGTGATGTACAGAGTTGAAAAATCAAATGTTTTGACAGAACTGAACCTGGTTCTTTCATGAGAGTGTAAAAGGTCAAGCAAATTCATCGAGTTTTTGAGGCAAGTTTGATTCCAATATTTAACAGAAAATATACGAAGTACAATCGAGTGCACCCTTACATGTGATCCCTCATATATATAACTTCATTATATGTTTAAATAAATCTACCTTAACATGTAAACAATATATATTGATATCGAAATCTGCTCAACATTTATGTAATTCTAATATTGTATTCTGCAACAAAGGCAATTAACTAGTTAACGCGTTGATATACAATTGGAATCTATTTATAGTGTGTCACAATAATCCGCATCGTGCTTGTGGTCACAATTCGTCCAAGCTTTCACAAAAGTAATATTAGTTTTAAGAGTAATGAGTTTTGTATATAAACGAATAAATTGTAAAGTTATGACAGTTAGACTTTTTTATTTCAACACCTGGCCGTATATAATGGAGTACTAGTATATGGGTACAAGATGGTTATAACATCCAAAGCATTGCGGTTTTCGGGGTTCTTTAAAACAAATGATAATATGGTATATAATAAAACGATGATAACACTTATCCATCCCTATTTGACTAGTACCATATGATTCCGTATTTTTTAAGAGAAAAATTGACTTGCTTTGGCATGCCCATGTACCACCGTTTGGGCGAGATACGCTCACCTTTTCGCGATCATTTGGTATTATCACAGTATGATAGTGATTCATAAAAACATGCTCATGATATAGTCGGAATCGTACAATCGACTCTGCTTTAGCAGACTTTATTGTTTGTGGAAAGGCTTTTGTCTAAGGATGATACACCGAATGTAACATATTGTGGAACCTAAAGTCCGTGCATCACTGCGATGACGCAAGCTGTCGTGAGTGAAGTCACGCTCGTCACACAGTTGACCTTGTTGACCATGGTCCGCCTGTCCACGTTAGTAGACCGCTGTTGCCATGGTTATTTGGTGTTAATATTCTTAAATTCGGTAAATGCCGAAATTTGTCATTGTCACCTAGTGTTAACGGGGAATAAATACATGGAATAATGACAATGATAACGGGGAATTGTGAAAACGTGGAATAATGATAACAAGGAATAATGAAATCGGAGAATATTAATAACAGGGAATTATGATAACAGGGAATTATGACAAAAATGAATAATGTTAGCAGTAAATAATGATAACAGGGAATTAGGATAACTGAGAATAATGAACACGGTAATGATGACAGGGAATTATGATAACAGGGAATTATGATAACTAAGAATAATGAACACGATAATGATAACGGGGAATTATGACAACAATGAATAATGTTAGCAGGAAATAAAGATAACAGGGAATTAGGATAACAGGGAATTATGACAACAATGAATAATGTTAGCAGGAAATAATGATAACAGGGAATTAGGATAACAGGGAATTATGACAACAATGAATAATGTTAGCAGGAAATAATGATAACAGGAAATAATGATAACAGGGAATTAGGATAACTGAGAATAATGAACACGATGATGATAACAGGGAATTGTGATAACTAAGAATAATGAACACGATAATGATAACAGGGAATTGTGATAACTAAGAATAATGAACACGATAATGATAACAGGGAATTATGATAACAGGGAATTATGACAACAATGAATAATGTTAGCAGGAAATAATGATAACAGGGAATTAGGATAACTAAGAATAATGAACACGATAATGATAACAGGGAATTATGACAACAATGACTAATGTTAGCAGGAAATAATGATAACAGGGAATTAGGATAACTGAGGATAATGAACACGACAATGATGACAGGGAATTATGATAACAGGGAATTATGACAACAATGAATAATGTTAGCAGGAAATAATGATGACAGGGAATTATGAAAACGGGAACTAATGAAACAGGGAGTTATGATAACAATGAATAATGATAACCGGGAATCGTGATAATAGAAAATAATGATAACAGGGAATTATGACAACAATGAATAATGTTCACAGGAAATAATGATAACAGGGAATTAGGATAACAGGGTCTAATGATACAGGGAATAATGATAACGGGGAATTATGATAACAATGAATAATGTTAACAGGAAATAATGATAACAGGGAATTAGGACAACTGATAATAATGAACACGATAATGATGACAGGGAATAATGATAACAGGGAATTATGATAACAATGAATAATGTTCACAGGAAATAATGATGACAGGGAATTATGATAACGGGAACTAATGAAACAGGGAGTTATGATAACAATGAATAATGATAACCGGGAATCGTGATAATAGAAAATAATGATAACAGGGAATGATGACAACAATGAATAATGTTCACAGGAAATAATGATAACAGGGAATTAGGATAACAGGGTCTAATGATACAGGGAATAATGATAACGGGGAATTATGATAACAATGAATAATGTTAACAGGAAATAATGATAACAGGGAATTAGGACAACTGATAATAATGAACACGACAATGATGACAGGGAATAATGATAACAGGGAATTATGATAACAATGAATAATGTTCACAGGAAATAATGATGAGAGGGAATTATGAAAACGGGAACTAATGAAACAGGGAGTTATGATAACAATGAATAATGATAACCGGGATTCGTGATAATAGAAAATAATGATAACAGGGAATGATGACAACAATGAATAATGTTTACAGGAAATAATGATAACAGGGAATTAGGATAACGGGGACTAATGAAACAGGGAGTTATGATAACAATGAACAATGATCACATGGAATCGTGATAATAGAAAATAAGGATAACAGGGAATAACACGGGATAATACGGATCATATTGTCAAGTGATAAACGTACACCAGAGCTGGGACAGCATGAGTCAGTTGTAGCACTAGACTGTAGCAATCATCTGAAGTTAGGAGGAACTGAAGACCGTCTGTGTTGACATAACGCTTCTAGTTCACGAAAACAGTCACTACAAAGGGATTTTGGTATAAATTTGAAAAATACAAAAACAATTTCATTCATGATCATTCGTCAATGCAGAAGGCATTACTATCATTACCTCGACGCACACGTAAGCCATGTCCCCTTTGTGTAGCACCTACAGTACATATGTGTTTTGACGATCATGTTAATTTTTATTAACGCTCATCCCTTCGACAAATTCAGGTGCAACGTTAAAACGTTTGCATTTTATATTTCTATTCCCATCACACAGACACTTTTACAGAAGTACAGATATGATAACTTGATTTATTATGAACTTTGTGATCAAATACCACATTTATCTAAAAAAAACATTTCAATCGAATGAAATCACCCGTTTGCTGGAATACGTTCAATTTTGTTCCATAGCACTATGGGGGCGGTCGGGTAGCTTAGTGGTTAAAGCGTTCGCTCGTCACGCCGAAGACCCGGGTTCGATTCCCGACATGGGTACAATGTGTGAAGCCCATTTCTGGTGTCCCACGCCGTGATATTGCTGGAATATTGCTAAAGCGGCGTAAAACCATACTCACTCACCCATAGCACTATGATTTTTTTATGGTTTTAGAAAAGTATGTTATAAATAGAACGTTTGGCTTTCCTGGTACAATAACATGTTTATCTATCTCGTGACCAGAAATCTGCAGAAAATCTGCAGAACTCAAAACTCTGGATAACTCGGTATACGTTCTGTGGCTGCAGGTCATGGTCTTTCTGAGAGTAGCGGACTGGAGAGAACAGATAATCAGGTCTACCGTTTGTGACTTTGACATGTTAGAAAATGGAACCTATATGATAAGTGAGTAAGTAGTGTTTTACGTCTCTCAGCAGTAAATATCACGGGGGATTCCAGGAATGGGCTTCAGAGAAGGTACCCATGTGGGAATCGAACCCGGGACTTCGGTGTACATGCCATTACCATATATATCTGATAGTGTATATGCCTTAAGAACATTCACGGTTTATGTTTTTTGAAAGGTTATTCAAAAGAGAAATAGTTTATCAGAAAACATACATATCGTCATTCCAAAGTCTTTCGGATGAAAAAGTCTTAAGAGCATCCGAGGTTTGTTGGTTGTCTATCTGCGCCAGGCGTCTTCCATCGCCCTCGCATATAGTCCTTGCTTCATTCCAGGTTTTTTCATTCTTATAGATGTAGAATGTCTTGCCCGTCAGACTGTCACACGAAACACCTGTAAAACAGAGGGACTATGAAACATGTTATGAGTATACTGAATCAGATTTCCTTATTTCAATGAACAAAGAAATTGGGCCATAATAATAAGACTCTTTCTTTCTTGTTTGTTTGTTTGTTTGTTTGTTGTTTAACGCCATACTCAGCAATATTCCAGCTATATGACGGCGTTCTGTAAATAATCGAGTCTGAACCAGACAATTCAGTGACTGACATCATGAGCATCGATCCACGCAATTGGGATACGATGACATGTATTCTACCATGAATTTCGAAATGACTCATTTCTGATTGGTAAACCAGAGGCAATTAAATCACATGAAACACCCTCTGTTTGAAACAGCTGGGTTGACGGCCGCATCACCACGGAAGCTAATATTCATAGAAGACTACTTTTTTCACACACTCCGTCGCAGTGGTGACTCAGCATAACACCACTGCCACAGGCTAATTTGCATATCATGTGACCGGACTTTTCTCTTGTTTGTAAACAAACGCGCTTTTTCAGAAATCAGTATAGAACGGACTAATGCAAGTATTTGGGGGCGCTTTACATATTGTTTTGCATAACTATATAGATATGCTACTACAACTGCGACAGTGAGTTGCATGACAATATATATTTATGCGTCAAAGTGACCGTGTCGCTAGCTCTCCGTTGGGCTTCGATGACAGCACGTGGAGCCGTACAACCAATGTAAACAAAGGATAACTACGCAAAAACAAGTAGATTTTTACGTATTTGCATACTTTCTCAATGAAAGTTAACCATTCTTTGACATTTGTTTATGAAAATGTGTAGACTTGTCAAACATGAAACGGATGAAAAGCATATGCAATATCTTGAATGGACTGTGAAAGATGGGACGAATCGTCACATGGCGCTGGCCTGTGGCAGAGGTACTATGCTAGCTGGCTGCCGGCCGCATGGAACTCTGGGTAGGAGAGTGCTTTTTTCAGTCATTGTCGGTAGGCATATTTAAATAATTATATCTACAATTACAGGTTACAAAATGCAGTTACTACAATATTCATAAGATGTGTGGCAATACATTTCGTGCAAAAACACGGTAGAAATCTACAAAGCTAATGTATTTTAGGTTTGGGGGACAACAGAGAGCTTGGAATTTGGCGCTTTTTTTATATACAACTGTGACGTCATACCTTTTGCGTCACAATGGGCGATATGACGTCATAATGGATACGTGCGGTGTGGAACGAAGCTTTGCAAAGCCTGCTTATGTTTCTTTAGGGGTGCCCCCTTCATGTTAGCCTACCATGTTGCCGCGCTTATATGCTTTCAGTGCCTGTCATATGAAGTATCTCCGTGTAAACAAACTGCTTGAGCATATAGAGCGCCATATTATGTTCACTGGCTGTTGTCGGTGATTCCGTAATTCAGATCGACAACCCGCTCAAAACACTGGACTCATCCCATGCCGCTTCACTCAATATATTTGCTGACATCAAAGAGTTCGCGTTTTATTTAGTCATGGTAGAATGGAGATTTAACCGCGCTCGATTTAATTTCGAACCGAACGAGCAGCGTGAGCTTTCAAATGTTAAATTTTGCGCGGTTAAATCTACGGGTAACCTAGCTCTACATTGAAAACACAGTATGTTTATCTCCTTATCAACCACCTCAGCGAGCCTGACCACCCGATCACGTTAGTCACCTTTTACGACAAGCATGGGTTGCTGAAGATCTATTCTACCCCGGATCTTCACGGGTCCATAATAATAAGAATTTCGAAAGAGATCGTCTGTCGATACAACAAGTCTGTTTCATTTCCACCCTGGAATGGTGACATGCTCTAGTCAAATGGGTATCACTCCTTGCGCATCGATAGCGTACGAAACAGTATCCATACTAAGACATATATTAAGCATAAACTGTGCATAGTTGCGTCCCTTTTTCGTGCCAGTATCCGTTCATCGTGGGATTGATATGAGGTATTCCGCCTTGGTTTTTCATCAGCACCCATAAGCTTTCTTGTGGGTTGTGGCAGTGCATAGTTGCGTCCCTTTGTCGTGCCAGGGTCCGCTTGTCGTGGGACCGATTACAAGATATTTCTCTTCGGTTTGTACCATACACGTTTCTGTAGTATTATTTTCGTTAATTGCAGGTCATATGAAAAATGAAAACGAACAATACGACCAGACCAACGTCTACATGCACAAGTACTTGTCTGCAGATCAAATTCCTCAGCATGTGGTCAATCGTTGCTTAAGCTTTGGCCCAAAGTTGTTACAAATGTGTTATCTGGCAGGTCGTATATGAAATACCTTGTCAATGTTGCATGAAGTATTAAGTGGGTAAAGGATACGTATCTGTTAACAAAACAACTCACATGAAATAACAGCTAGGAGTATGACTGATGTTGCAATCTGAAATCAGAGAAAAAAGTATTTGCTCTGAATATTGTTACGAAGTGATTCCCAGATTCAAACGCATAATTTTACACAGATATTTTTTATACAGAACTAAGTTGTGACATGAGCAAATGGCCGCACAAGATCAATGAATATTTAACAAATTATGTTGAATTACGCAGTTTAAGGTTTACAATCATAAGAGGCAAGACACTGGGTTAAATATGGACATTAGCAATAAACAGCAGGCCATATGATATGTCATGGAACTATGTCCAGAATTCAGTCATTGCAATTGTCTTGAATGATTCTTGAAAGAATTCAAAATAGTTTCGAGAGCTGATAAGTATTCGATGTTTTCAGATAGGCATCCCGCCCACACTGGGTATGTAGATAAGGTGCATGTCAGGTTTTCTGTCCCCGTCACAGATCTTGTTTGTTTGTTTATTTGTCACTGGGTTGTCTGGTCCAACTCGATTATGTACAGACCGCCGTCATATTGCTGGAATATTGCTGAGTGCGGCGTTTAATAATAAACAAACAAAATAAAACATCAAGAGCATCGAACTACGCAATCGGGATACGATGACATGCATCAACCAAGTCAACCTGACTATCTGAACAGATTAGTCCCCTCTTACCAGAAGCATGGATTACTGAAGTTCAGTGTTACTCCGGATCTTTACTATTGTATCGTTTTAAATCCTAATTTGTTTAACATTTTATCTAATAATGTGACAACGATCAGCTACGTTAAATGCCTTTCGAACTGTTTACTTTCTTGTTACTGTCTTTGCAATACCCTACCTATTTTGCACATCGTTGGTCTGTGATTCTACACTAATATTTAGCGTGAATGTTATAATTATATAGAAGGGTGTCCGTCGACATTGAAATTAGCCCATCGATGTTATGACCCCAGCCCGTGTCGTCACGGTAAGTCAATTAGCGGCTTACGAGAAGATCGGGGCAGATTGAAATAATGCCTACATGTCTCACTTTCTACCGACGATGTTTACATCATGCAGTGGCCAAAGCACAACCAATAGATATTACTTTTAAATACGAAATATGAAATGCTGGACTTCCTCATTGATAATATCTATGTAACATTTTGGGTTAGACATTTATGAATCAGAATTTCTGCTCGAATTGACAACGTCAAAACATGGTAATTTGGCCAAGAAGTTTAACTTAAGCTTCAGGCATATCGATGATCTGATATCGTTCAACAACAATCAAACAGACAGTTTTCTTCCGGTTATTTACCCTCCTATGAGACCGCCTCATCTGTTTCATATTTAGATCTATGCATAAAGATTCAGAGTGACAACACACTCAACACAAGGCTGTATGACAAGAGGGATGACTTCAACTCACCAATAGGGGGCGGTCGGGTAGCCCAGTGGTTAAAGCGTTCGCTCATCACGCCGAAGACCCGGGTTCGAATCCCGACATGGGTACAATGTGTCCCCCGCCGTGATATTGCTGGAATATTGCTAAAAGCGGCGTAAAACCAAACTCACTCACTCACTCACTCAACTAACCAATTGCTTACTGTCCCTTTATGTCGAGCAATACTCCAGCAGCTCCAGCTCTTGGTGTCTACATTTCACTATTTTCCAGGTACAACCGAGCATGCTCATTCTACCAGGATTTCAAAGGACGTCAATCAACCGCTTGCTCAGAGGTTGTTTCATCAAGGTTACAACATTTAAGGCCTAAGCAAAGCTTACATAATGTTTTTGGTAGACCTGTGGAGTATGGAATACTGTATGGGACATTTTCGCGATCTCGCATTCTATTTGGCATATTTAGCGAGAATGCGAGATTGCGATAATGTCCCTTACATAATTCCAAAGTGGAGGACATTTCCAAATTTGACGCATCAGTGACAAAAAATGATAAACGATGCAATTCCCTATTTAGCCTTGCACTATACGTTCCCGTGTTCTCAAGTGATGAATTGACTTGACTTTGCATGTATTTGTGAAGGGTGGCACTGGCCGTGGTGGGGAAGAATACGCTTATCTTTTCGCGAACACCTGGTATCATCACTATTTCATAGTGCCTCATAAACACATGCTCATGATATAGTCGGAATTGCACAATCTGCTCCAGTGGATGAATGTATGTTGCTCGACGTTTATTGTTTTGTTCAGGGGTTCCTTCCCCACAGGGGGCACGGGTGGCCCAGTCGTCTAAGGCGCCGCGATTCGCTGTGCAGAGTTGCGTCCCTTGGGCACGCCAGAAACCTATGATTGTGGGTTCGAATCCCGGTTCGCCCCGATTATGTTTAAAGGTTTGTCAGCACCATACCCGTGCTCGTGGGTTTCACCGAAGTGGTAAACGTCTGAGACATGCATCACTTCGGGCTTTCCTCCCACATTAAGCTGACACGCCGTGATATGACTGGAAAAGTGTTAAAAGCGGCGTTAAATCCCAACTCACTCACTCCTTCCCCACAAAGTGAAGCAATAATGAGCACGTAAATAGATACTGATGGTATGATGACATCTCTAGCCTTTGTCTCTGTGACCTTAGTCCCAATTTCAGAAGATCACGATGATGTCTCTTTGCTGCGAGGAAAAGTTTGTTTTCTTACTAATATATTTTACCAGTTTTTTTATAATCTTTAGGATTACAAATGTAATTTTTGTTACTATTTCACTTACGACATGTTTGACAAGCCGCCATAAATTACATTTATAGCTTGTAAGCGCAAAACAATTGACAAATATTCAAAAACGCATGATTGTGATGACACACACACATACAGACACACAGACACAGACACAGACATACATACATACATACAGACACACAGACATACATACATACATACATACATACATACATACATACATACATACGTACGTACGTACGCACGCACGCACGCACGCACAGACAGACAGACAGACAGACAGACAGACAGACAGACAGACAGACAGACAGATGTTGCGACTAGTGAGATGGGGCACCCCAACTGGACCAGACCAAGGTTCATGAAAATGCTTACATGGGCGTCTTTCGTTTTATCAATTTTGTGATGACGATAACTGGATTGTCATGTTTAGCATCAGTCTTTGTCACAAAAGTGGAAAATAACAAAGGGTAGAAACTAACAAGGTAAGCCAACAGATATTTTGCGCTGATAGGTGATTAGCAATAGACAATGGAAGCCAACACTTACAGTAATTGGCGCTGATGGTATCGAAGTACTTGAGGTATCATTGTGAAAAGATGGACACGGCAAAGTGCAAATTGAAGCCAGCTAGGTAATTCTAGCTATGCTATGTAAGCATGGCCAAATCATACATTCTCAGGCTCGATATTTGGCCTATAATGTCATAAACTACATGGAAAAAAAATGTACAACGTACAATGTACAACTTCATCTCAAGCATTGTCAAAAGCTAGCATCGCCTCTACATGTACTTGTCGCGGACCACCCGCTAACCCTTTCTTCACAATTGTCATACTGAGTTCGATGTCAGGTCACAACTCAACTTATCCTGATTTACTACTAGAAGAGCTTCGTGCCAAGGCTCTGTCGGTCATTTAAAATGTTTGAAAATGAAATGTTAATTTTGTTGTAGCCAGTGACACGAAGGGCATTTTATTGAAATAAAATTCTATATAGTATTATTCTCAGTCGTCATGCAGGGATTTTAACCAAAAACTAATTGGCCCGGAAAATGCTTTAAAAAAACAGCTTGTGCATCAGACTTTAGAAAAAAAATATATATCTGCTGCAAAATTGACAATGTTGCAAGGTGTTTAACTCTAAAACAATATTTAGTCTCATGGTCTATAATTTTAAATTATTATTTTTTTAGCTGTATCGAAAACAATATCTAGTCTCTACGGTGGCCCATAAGGGACATGGAGTGTGTGTTTCAATATTTTAATATCATTTACTTTTATGGTAACCTCTTGCAAATTAACACAATTTGTCATACAAATATGTGATAAATCATGTAAAAAAACAACCGAAAACATGGAAAATGTACTTTCAAGTAGCTATTGAGTCGCTGAAATGTGAAGCGAAAATGTCAAAAACTAAAATGGAAAATGTCAAAAACTAAAATGAAACCACAGAAAACTATTTCGACCGCGGTGAAAACTGTTTTCACCGCGGTGGAAATAGTTTTCTGTATTTTCCTTTTAGTTTTTGACATTTTCACTTTTGTTTTTGACATTTTCATTTTAGTTTTTGACATTTTCCTTTCACTTTTCAGCGATTCAATATCTTCTTTACACATGATTTATCACATATTTGTATGAAAAATCGTGTTAATTTGCAAAAGTTTACGATAACAGTAAGTGAAATATCAAAATATTGAAAAACAGACTCCATGTCCCTTATGGGCCACCGTAAGTCTCCATACAAAGACCGAGCAATATAAAATGGTTGGTCCCTAACTCAAAGACAAAACACAATAGCTATTTGAGACATAACTATAAATAAATAATGTACCTATTCATTATGGTTCTGTAAATCATATAACTCAAACTTATTTTACCTTGTTTCTGTTGTCGAGAAGCCTCGCCATGGTGCTCCAAAAGTCCCAGAATCCAGCACGTTCCATCGGCTGAGGAATGAAAAGTACAGAAGAACCTCAGGTGTTACAACTGCCAAGTTTGAATCTGTAGCCTCAATCCTATGACACTATAGCCTATTGTATACGTACAATACTTGCATCAGAGCGAACAGATCAACAAGGATCGATGTAGCGATCCCCTCAGGAATCGTCTACATATAAGGTCAATGTATAATAAATGACGAGAGACAAACGACGAAGAAGAAGCTGACAAATAAAACAGTACCTCTTTGCGATCTGGCCCAGTTTGGTTATCCCAGCGACAAGATCGCGAGAACCATCCGATACAATCAATGAATGTTTCAGAAGGAAGGGAAATTCACTTGTGTAACAACCGAATCAATATTTGTCATGCAGCATAAAAACCTGACACGTGGATGATCTTGCAACATTCATTATTTGGTCAATCCATATTTTCAAGGTAATCCATTCTGATTTTTATATATTAACCATCCGACCAGAGTGGTGTAAACCAAATAGTTTCTGAAATTAGAGATGAACGTTTTGTGTCGGAAATAAAGTACAGGCATTTCTATTATTAACTGGCTGTTACAAATACAAATTACGAATTGCAATCACACAAAAAGGATAACAATTAAGTCATGACTAACCATTCAGGGGCAATACAGGTAGCCCAACCAAGTGTAAAGTGCTAGAAAACCAACAAGGGAAGCCAACAGATATTTGGCGCTGATAGGTCATTAGCAATAGACAATGGAAGCCAACACTTACAGTAATTGGCGCTGGTAGGTGATTAGCAATAGACAATGGAAGCCAACACTTACAGTAATTAGCGCTGATAGGTGATTAGCAATAGACAGTGGAAGCCAACACTTACATTAATTGGCGCTGATAGGTGATTAGCAATAGACAATGGAAGCCAACACTTACAGTAATTGCCGCTGATAGGTGATTAGCAATAGACAGTGGAAGCCAACACTTACAGTAATTGGCGCTGATAGGTGATTAGCAATAGACAATGGAAGCCAACACTTACAGTAATTGGCGCTGATGGTATCGAAGCCAGTACTTGAGTTCTCATTGTGAAAAGATGGACACAGCAAAGTGCAAATTGAAGCCAGCTAGGTAATTCTAGCTATGCTATGTAAGCATGGCCAAATCATACATTCTCAGGCTCGATATTTGGCCTATAATGTCATAAACTACATGGAAAAAAAATGTACAACGTACAATGTACAACTTCATCTCAAGCATTGTCAAAAGCCAGCATCGCCTCTACATGTACTTGTCGCGGACCACCCGCTAACCCTTTCTTCACAATTGTCATACTGAGTTCGATGTCAGGTTACAACTCAACTTATCCTGATTTACGACTAGATGAGCTAAGTGCCAAGGCTCTGTCGGTCATTTAAAATGTTTGAAAATGAAATGTTAATTTTGTTGTAGCCAGTGACACGAAGGGCATAAAGTGCTGTCGCTCTACACAAGTCTTAGCAGGACAAGCTAACCTTTTTCGCGAGTACCTGGTGTCATCATTCGCTTTTAGTGACCCATTCGTACAATTGTCACCCTTATTTTACGTTTACGGTCAATATAATCTGTCTCGGCAGATAATCAGTAATATATTGCGATTACGTTATATATTCAGATAGGAGATAAACATACTGTGTTTTCAGAGTAGAGCTAGGTTACTCGTAGATTTACCCGCACTAAACTGAATTTGGAACCGAACGCGCAGCCTATTGGCTGTAGTGTAGCCTTTTGGTTCAAGCGTTCGCTCGTCACGCGGAAGACCCGGGTTCGATTCCCCATGTGGGGTACAATGTGTGAAGCCCATTTCTGGTGTCCCCCACCGTGATATTGCTTAAATATTGCTACAAGCGGCGAAAAACCATACACACTCACTCGATCACTGATTAGGGCTGAGAGTGAGAGTTGTGTTTCAGTTGAGATAATATATTTTCTCATGCAACGCTTCAGGGCACACTGATGTTTCTCTGAAAAATCTCTGAGGATCATCCAACATGACAACACTTTGGTATATTTACGTTGGGAAAGGGAGGGGGGGGGGGCGGGGAGATACATTTCAGTGTCTATCAGCGTATCATCAGTGGCTGTAATCTTCACATCATTCTAAAAGATGAATTTAGATTAAGTTCCAGGCTGATACAAACTTAGCAGGACATGTATATCATCCTGTTAATCGCAAATCGAATTATAGATCTAAAAACCGAGATCAGTGCTGAAGATGTTGTTTTCGTTGAAAACCCGAAATGTAAATCTGCTAAAACATACTTTTAATCAATTAGTCAATACCTAAGACAGAAAGGGACAACAAGGAAGATGTAGCTGTACTTGTATGTCAGACTGTAAACCATAATACGGTTGGTCATAACTTTTGATGACTTATCATGTAAACAAATACCGTCAGATATGGCATTGAATGCACCCTTTGTGGTTGTGTTGTTTTGAATAGACAGGTCAGAAGTTATTGCCACCAGTCAGACAGCATAGATCGAGCATCAACAGGAATAATCTCAACGAGTCACACAGCATAGATCGAGCATCAACAGGAATAATCTCAACGAGTCACACAGCATAGATCGAGCATCAACAGGAATAATCTCAACGAGTCAGACAGCATAGATCGAGCATCAACAGGAATAATCTCAACGAGTCAGACAGCATAGATCGAGCATCAACAGGAATAATCTCAACGAGTCACACAGCATAGATCGAGCATCAACAGGAATAATCTCAACGAGTCACACAGCATAGATCGAGCATCAACAGGAATAATCTCAACGAGTCACACAGCATAGATCGAGCATCAACAGGAATAATCTCAACGAGTCAGACAGCATAGATCGCGCATCAACAGGAATTATCTCCACGACTCAGACAGCATAGATCGCGCATCAACAGGAATTATCTCCACGAGACAGGCAGCATAGATCGCGCATCAACAGGAATTATCTCCACGACTCAGACAGCATAGATCGCGCAGCAACAGGAATTATCTCCACGAGACAGGCAGGATAGATCGCGCATCAACAGGAATTATCTACATGAGACAGCCAGCATGTTTCCAATTGTGTCCTCCGGATGGTGCGTAGTTGGCATATTCCCGTGAGCTGCTCTATCAGCAGTTCGGTTAAGTCTTGGTGTGCACATGGATTCCCAAAGTATAGTAACACTTTACAAGGCCAGTGACGTTCATATAACCCAACTGACGTCGGTCGGCACTGTCAGCGGAGACAGTGGATCTGTTGTCTACGGTCACCCTTTCGTGTCTCATCGGTATCAGAAGCTCGATGTTTCTGGTAATTTCCGATGTGTGCGCCATTCCTGTTTTGGGTCTACACGTGTTATATAGTGTAACTCTTTCTTGATGTCACTTTACTTTCCACCACCAACTCAATTATATCCGAACTAGCGAAAATACATGTTACTTCTAGGGCATGGTCACGGAGAGACTGGATGTAAACATTACCGCTTAACCCTCAGAGTCTACTCAGTGTCAAAATGGAGTTTTATAAATCCTTTCATTGACTCATATATTTTAGCATATTTTTTTAAACTTAAATTTTATGTGATAAAGAGTAAGAAAAAGGCCCTGTTTGTGGATATGTAAGGTAAGAACATGTTAAGTCTGACAACAGATAATGCCTGGACATGTTTTATTACTTACTTATATGCGTTTATATTTAATAACTTTCTTATCTTGAATTAAATGTATGAGAAAGGTCAGGACCGTTTTAGGTAATCCAACACGAGAACTCGCTCAACCAAACACGTGTGTCATAATTGTGGAGGAACGAACAAAAGCCTTTTCCTTGCATTTTTTCTTTTCCAATATTATTTCAGACGCAGTCATTACGGATAAATGTATTTTAATCACGATCCCTCGCTGAGTGGGTCTCCGGGCGATTATACCGAATGATAGAATAATATGTGAAGCTAATTTTCTATGATCATTACACAATTCAAGTGTTGAAGGCAATTTACTCTGGACCCCACTCACTCTATTCGTTGTTGTCCCTCGTAGGCCCGCGACAAAGAACAACATGCTGTTCTTTAGTTTATATATTTTAAATATCCGTTGTTGATCGGTAAGTAAACACGGTTTCCATTATACGGCATCCTACTTTGTCCAGAATGCAGTCATCAGTCAATGTTGCTTAGTGACATGACAGGCATGGATAAACATCCATCTACCTGTGTCTTGGTGCCATTAGACAATAAAACCGCATGTGTATTGTGTTAAATGAGAGTAAACGTCTTTACGAAACATCAAAATATTTATGAGGTCACATGGTTTAAAAAGAGAGATAACGGGGATAAACATTATTGCAGTGATATCACGGCGTGTCAGTTTAATGACACAGGGCTTATATGTGTAGCACGGCTACAACCAAAAATCATTCGAATCTCGTTCATCGGATCCTGGCGTGCCTCAGGTAGGCAACTCTGCATATGGAATCGCGTTCGACCACGTGGTTATCCATGCCCTACAAATAAGGAAGTAAGACTGACATCTCGTTTGTTTGTAACTATGGCATACACGATATTTTTATCAAAATACCATCGTGGGTGGCACAGTATCTGAAATGTATTATTGACATATCGCTCAAAGTTCATAAAATGCTAACATTGTTGATCTGAGTGTGTCCGCGCTGGTCAGATCGATATTATCTGTAGTCGTGTGATTAAGTGCGTGTCACTCATGGGACACTTGTGTTGCTCATGTCGTTCAAGGCCAGCACTGACTGCACTGTTTGGCTCTCGCTCGAAGACATACACTATTACTTTATTTACAGCAGAAATGTCATTCTCTTTTTTTGAACAACTGGTGTCATCACTGATTTAGACTGGTCCATTCATATAATTTTTACAGCTCTCTTTGCCCTTTACGCAACATGGGATGTGCATCGGCTGGTCATTCTCTTGCATTGACAATTCATATTAAGCTATTGTCGTTGATATGTATAATATATATTCAATAGTTAACGATCGTGGAGGATTTGGAC